CAAGTCTCACAGAATTTATTTACTTCAATGACGTTGTTTGGTTTCTCAATCTATCGATATTTCAACCATTGTTTGGCAATTTAATCTATATGAATAAATGCGAATGTCACTGTGTCTGCAAGTCACACTTTTTCAACTTTACTCCTAGAGGCCAAAGTCTGACATACTATTTTTGGAATCAGGCCAACTCTGTGGAAAAATTAAAAACATTCCGGGTCGGATCCAGAACCAGTCACTCAGTTATGTGTGATAAACGCTTAAGCGATCATGTATCTTTCGATACATGACTGACGAGGCAGATTTTTCTCGTAGTAGGTTGCCATTTCTTTCTGCTGTAGACCACTTGCCATTCAAGGCTATAGAATCCGGTCTGTCCTCCCATTTAGCAATACCTGGGTGAAGAAGATGAGGATTCATACCTTTCCTAAGGGTATTAGTGCGTAAGTGAATTCAATGGATTCGACTGGAATTCGAATTCAGCTCTCCGATTCATTAATCCGAGCAGATATCCATTAATCCACCGTTGGATTACTAAGTTCACGGCGTTTTTTAGATGGATTTTTACATCAAATTTTTTACATGATAATAATTTTTATAATCTCTATCTATAAAAGGCAGGGTGTGTGTGTGTGTGTGTGTGTGTGTGTGTGTGTAACGAATGCACGGCCGCAATTTTCGACGGATTTGCACCAAAATATACATGCACATGCTGCAAGTTAGCGGAGTGGCCAAGACCGACCTTGTATTTCCCAACTCCCATCGATAGTGGAAATAATCGATATTTTCATTCTTCTACGGCATTTTTTATGTAGTTTACAGCCATTTTTTACTGACCAGAGTGAAAGCCTATAGCTGGCTGCTACGAATAGGCAGGAAGATTCTATTGGCCAGCGTAAGAGCCAACAGCTGACTGATACGAATGTGTGACGTCATCCCCCGGTCGCAGCGTCGACTGTGTTGTTCGATCCCAGTCGCGGCGCCAATTGTGACGTCACGTGCTCCCCAGGCTCTGATATCTTGGTCACGGACAGCACCAACTGTGACGTCTTCGCCGCGGCGTCAGCTGTTCGCTCCTCGCTGCTCCAAACGTGACGTTCTAACCCTTTGGTTAGATTGATACCAGCCTCGCCGTTCCCAACCCGCTTCCAACGCCTGGTTACCAGGGTAACTGCACTGATCTCCAGTCTGCCTACCCACGTTGTGAATTGATCTTAGACAGACGAGATCAGACAGGGGTTGGGGCCGTAATGCAAGTTGAGTCCAACGGGGGTGATAACACACAATTATGTATAAAAGAAAATAAAATAAAAACTCACAAGGTCCAACGTATCAAGGAAAAAGGTAACAAACTTTTATATCTATTTGTGCGGTACATAGGACTATATCTACTTCCCGACCCGTTCTGTGGATTGTGGCACGACGCTTTTACTAGGCAACTTTAAGGCTTCAAGTTGTCTGCTCTCTAAGAAATTTGTGTTTCGGTGTGTCTTTGGACGAAAGTCGAAAAAAAAAACTTATTTCTGTGGTCTGATTCTAAGTCGCTCTTCAAACTACTTGTTCTTGGTTGAAGAAGAGTCCAGAAGTGTGCGTGAATCTTGGTCAGCTATCTTGACGCGGTTTCAACACTGGGCGCTCATCTCTGCTTGTCGTCCAAGGTTCAAAACTTCTCGCCAGGGTCCGCGGCTCAATCTGACTTCTTCTCTCCAGAGTCTGAATTACTGGTCACTCATCTCCGCCGTCGGTGCGCGAACTAACTTCTTCTCTTCGGCTTCGGTCGGACGAACTTCTTCCCTTAGGCCAAACGAACTGGCCTCTCATGCCCGCAAAGTGGGCGACCGAACTCGGGCCGCCGTCCGCGGCTGAAACTCTCTTGCCGTCCGCGGCTGGTACTCTGATTTCTGTCGGTTGGGGTCTCGCTTTTATTGACGCAGTCAAAACTGGGGTGGGTCTGTCGGCACTAGGGGTTCTTCGATAATTCTAAATACGTATCCACCCTTCTTATTTCTGGTTAGGGATTTTTCATTCTTTTCCATTTTCGGTAACTCACTCTCACTCCCACTCCCTTACTGTGCCTCTGAGGGGCGTGTATCCGCTTCCCCGCTTTTTCGTATCGGCTCCTTACACTTACACTTCTGACAGGGGCGTCGACTGATTCTCCTCGTGCGTCACGTGACCGCTCTCGGCCAATGAGGTCCTGGTCGGGTATCTTTCCTCCTCCTTCGTGTCATGTGATCTTATTTAGCCAATGACGTCTTTAGTCGGGCGTAGACAATCCGTGGCTTTGTTTTGGGAAAGAGATACCTTGCTTAAAAAACAAAAATATTAATTCAAATCGCCCTTATCATGAGCGACTGAGATGACACTCTTGGCTTTCCAACACGTGGTATTTGTCAAGGAGTTTATCGCTAATTGGATATGATCTAAGAAAGGAATTTCTCAGACTCATTGGCGTTTCTGAAACGGAATAAAAATATTTCATTTTCTCTCCGCTCGAAGGTCT